TAGTGAGGACAAATATATAGTACATTAATAAAGGGCAAAAAGTTGAAAAGAGTTTATTACAGATCTTGTGATTGTGCGACCACGAGCTCAATTATCCCCTTATCGACCTGCACACTAGTCTAAAGCCAAACTGTCGTCGAGCTCGTGCGAAACACAAATCTCATACCTTGAAGCTTATCCACGAATTTGGACAGGCAATATCGAAAAACATCTTCCATTTCGTCGCTGCCATCTCTGAATTCAAGGTGAAAACCTGAAGTGTTTCCAATTATGTACTGTGAAAATAACCCAAAATGTGTGGAAATACCTCAAAATACACCACAGTTCAAGAAATTTTCAAACGCTTCATAAACAAAAACAGCTGGTTTTTTTCAAAGTGCAAATGTTGCGACGTCATGTAAAAATACCTCAGGTAACGTGTGCAATTGCACGCTAAAGAGAGTTACAGTAATCCCGTTAATCCCTCAACGTTTGAAGACCCTTCCCAAAAATGCCGTGAAATTGATAAATGGAATCATTTGTAAGTGTTCATGATATCAGTGGCCAAGTAGATTTAATGAAACGGGTTTTCGAAGTTACAGAGGAAGCTGTGAGCTGATGAGGAATCCTCAAGCGGGCTGTCCGTTGTCGAAATCGAAAGCGCTTTGGGTAGAACGACTTGAAAACAATGCTTTTAGTTACAAATGTAGAGAAATTGTCAATCTCGAAGCGATGTCAAAAGAGAAAAGTCATGAATGCGTCAGAGTTTTCCGGTTATCAAAGATCAGATCGGCACATCAATATTGTCAATGCGTTGGCTGTAGAGCTGGGTGGCACGTTTTAAACCCATGGCTGTACAGGAAAACCAGGAGAGTTAAAGGTACGAAAGGTAATTTTCTTTTTGAACTTTTGAATAATTTAATGCTACTGCTCTCAGAATGATGAGCTTTCGATGAACCGGACCGGATGGCCCTGAAGCCAGGATGAATGGAAACACTGCCGGTGTCTTCAACAGGATGGAAAGGTGGTTGGTGCGACAGGTGGGGACTTCGCATTTGACCGCTACATTTTTCTTTATTCTGTACTTGAATTGATACAAGCATTTGAACTAATTTTTGGCATGGTATGGTATTGATTGTTGACAGCTTACTGGAAGTTACTTTGAGGTAGAGATTGAGTGATTCCATAGAGTAATCCTGTTCCCGTGATAATGGGACAATGATGGAGGTCCTGCGGTTCTCGTGATTCGTCTCCACCTCATGCTATTTACGGCATCTTCTGTTGTCACTTCGACTTCAGTAAACTCCTTCTTGATTCCGTCTCGCCACCTTTTCGTTGGGACCTTCTTCGCTACTCCGCGCCCTCCCTTCTCGGATGACCAAGACACCTCTAACTTTGAAAAGATATGTTTATTGCACAAAAAAGCAATAACAGAGGCATATTTTTGAAATTATCAAATAAAGGTAGAACAAGCTCAATTATAAGTACGATTACCTGTCATTTTGATATGAAACACATGGAAATACATAGTGAAGAGTCGATAACAAACGGAAATCTGTCACTAACTATACTAATATAGCTACCCAACAACTTAGATTTACTACAGTGAGAATTGTAACCATAGGATTACTGTAGCAATTACA